TGTTTATTTCTAGTGAAATTTGGCTTGTGACCATGTACATACTGTAGTCCAGAGAATTTGGCCCAATTTTTGAGTAACTTTAAAAATTTGTAAAAATTTAATTTTGATAGGAATCTGCTATGCAATATAAGAACATGTATACGCATCAGAAAAAAATTTTTAGATGAAGAATTCTGTCTTTTTTAATTTTTGCAAAATATGGCCCTTGACCCTGTACTAGGAACTTTAGTCCAATTTACCAGTAGTATTGATCTATTTCATTCATTACAGGTTAATAAAGGATCATGTCACCAATAAAGAGTTCAGTCACATAAAGGACGTCATATCATATCTTAAAGATGACTACACTTTATCCTCCAACCCAAACTCAAGGAAAGGGCCACAGCAATAGCTCTGGTGAAGGTACGTGGTCACCATGACAACCATTGTCACACATCTCATACATGTACATGTAATGTAATTGCTAAACTTTTGATGATTAACACGTTTCAATTTGGCCAATTTGTTGAGCATGTAATGGTTCAAAATTCAAATTCAAATGCTTAAATTTGCTAAAATCTTCCTCTAAAAATACAAGCAACACTACATAAGGAAGATCATTTTCAAGGAGATAATTATGATAGCATGCACATATACATGTATATTGTTTTTAGCTTTGACTTTTCCTCTATCTCTCTCTCTCTCTCTGTTCAGTCTTGTATTGTTATGAATCTACCAGTACTAGTTCAGCCAGTGTTGTTCTGTTTTGATGATCAGGATGCTTGTGTCCATTATCATGCTTGTGAGTCTCTCTACAGTATTTCTAAAGTCGCCAGAGGAGCTGTTATTGTGTTCTTTAATGCAGTAATTAATAGACTTTATAAGGTGGGTATGGTTAGGGTGTGGTTTAATGAATTTGATTTCAAAGTACTCATTATTGTCTCATTTTGAAAAATACAATAGTCAATGGTTTTTTCTGAAAATGTTTCTGAACTTACCCTAAATTTTTCTTAAATTTTTTGATGCAAATTGATGTCCTTATGCTATGTAGAAAGTTTGAGCTGATCCCGACAAATATTTTTAAAGTTATAGCCATTTTTAAATGGCCAATTTTGAAAAATACCGTATAGCCAAAAAATTTTGTGAGGAATAAATTTTCGTATTTTCGTGATTACTGCTTGCATCACGAAAAATTAAACCCCCGAAAATAAATATTAATTGAGAGGCGTGGTTAACCACGCCTTAGACTAATAAGCGTGCCCTGTCAAGTCGTGTTCTCGGTCAAGCTGATGTCTCTGTTACTCTGTATTGCTATTTTAAGCATACTGCCTAGGTCAAAGATGATCTTCCCCATCTCTGGTGTCCACACTGATTTGTAGACATGGTGCCCCTTGACACAAGAGTCCGTCTCAAACCATGTTTTAATTAAATAAGGCGTGGTCATTATTATTATTATTATTATTAAAATAAAATCACGAAAATATTTATCACGGAATTTAAAATTTCTCCTTAAATTTCATTATTCACGCATTTTTTAAGCCTCGAAAATTTTTGGCTATACGGTATCCAAGGCTATAGCCCCTGTTTTTTCCCAAAAGATGGCTCTGAAATCATCCTAAATTTTCATTACATTTTATGATACATTATGTTGTGTAAAAATGTTTTTCCCATTTTTTAAATGGCCAATTTTTGAAAAATACCCAAGGCTATAGCCTATAGCCCGAAGTCTTTATGCTGTGTAGAAAGTTTGAGCTGATTCTGACTTAAACTTTTAAAGTTATGACAGTTACACCCCCCTGTACTACTAGTCAGTTGTTTCATTTTGGTTGGATACACATTAAAGTTAGTTTTATTTCAATTGCCATCTACCCTTTCTGAAACGATGTCATGAAGATACAAATTTTACAATTTAGAAACTTTAATGTTACTTACATGTAAATTAACCTGTACATTTACATGTACATGTACTGTTTTGTTGAAACTACAGTATAGCACATTTCAGGACCAAAAAAATAAGATCACTACCTTTTCAGCCTTTTGAGCAACAACATGTAATCATGTACATTAATATACAATATTGGGATTTCTCATACATGTCATTTAAAAGGTATTATTGTAAATTCCCTTTCCCTCCCTCTCTCTCTCTCTGTCGCTCTCTCTCTCTCTGTCGCTCTCTCTCTCTCTCACTCCCTCCGACAAATCAGTCTCTCCTCGTAAGTGATGATTTGGTTAATTCTCATTATTATGTTACATTAACATGTTATGTGCAGCTGCTACAATCTGTAAAATTCATGATTTATTGCACAACGACTTCACACCTCCTTCTCACAGGGCAACATCTGATTGTGACTCCGCCCCCTCATTAATGACTATCCTACTATTACCGGAACTGTGCAGGAAATTTCAGGTTTGAATAAATATTTGTAAAAAATAATAATTAATAATTATTACTTTGTGCAATTTATTGTTGCAAAGTAATTTTTATCCATACATATATGTCAGGGTGTGATAAGGGGGAGTTCCTTTATGTTTTTAATTAATTGATAATTTTGATGTACATGTACATACCGTACATATATTAAATAACCT